TATTTCATTTTATTTGATCTTCTTCATAGATCATTTTTATTGACCTTTGTTAATGTCTTGTTTTGGTAAATTTAAGTTTTGTTTGTTTGCTTTTTATTTGTCAAAAAAATTGAAATGCATAAATTCAAACTATTATTATTATTATTGTTGTTGTTGTTGCTGTTAATGACAGCAGATAAAAAATAGACTATTCAGAATGACATCCATCCTCTACTATTTGCTCCTGTCCAAGCAAAACTGACAGCTAAGCAGAGCTGTTCAAATGTCCCTCTTCGCTGAAATATCTTCTAGCTCATCTTCCGAGGTCATTCACAAGTCAGATATCACACATGATCTCTGCAGGGTGTGCTAAGTCTGATTTAGTTATGCTCTGGGCATAAGTAGCTGGTAATTCCTAGAACACCTCACCTGGTGACCAGAAGGCATCTCAGATGAATAAAACTTTACTTTGTTTTCCTAAAATCTAAACCTAAAATTTGAAAGTGAGTTCATATGTCTGTCAAAGGAAGCTCATGGAATATACCCTAGATCTTATTCTTTTCATCACAACCCACAGCTCATGACCTGAGGTGACAGTAGAAATACAGGGAGACCAGTAAATTGACAGTTTTGCCTTTAGGCTCAACTCCCTGTTCTTCATAACAGACTGGACTTCGACTATTGCAGATGCAGCGTTGAACTCCATGTCAGTCTACTGCGTCTGCCTCCCCCTAGTCATGATAAGACCCCGGAGGCTTTAAGCCCATTTTTGAGGTAAGAACGATGGTTGCAAAGTTTTAGTTGCTAATCCACTTCCAATTTGTTCTGGCTTCAAACCATCCCAGTATAAAATGAAAGTTACAAGGTTAAGGCGTTAGGATCATACACAACAGCAAACACATGATCCTGAACCCACTGACCTAGACACCCTCATTGTGTTAGGCACCCAAAAAGTTCAGTCAAATTACCTGTCATCATTCACTGTAGCTGTCTTCTATGGTCTTTATGGCCTTTTAACATTACTGAGCTGGTCAGTGCATTCTTTCTTTATAAAGAATCCGATTGGGAACATGGACACTGTTAAAGTTTTTTGCTTTTGCTCTGATAAGGTTATCATTTATTTATTTATTCTTTTTTTTTCAGCCTAATAATGGCATATTTGGGCAGCGTATTTAAAATAACAAAGAAAGCAAAACACTTTACTTAAGCTTTGGTTATTGTGTATGCTTCATTTGGCATGAAATAACGTGGGTACAGGACTCGCATTGCCATGAAACTGCTTGCCAAAGTATTCTCTGTTTAGTTTTGAGTCTCTGAAAATGGTATAATGTATAAAGATGGTTCTAATTCATAAACACATATTTAACAATTTTTATAAAGACCTCGAATTCAAGATGAAAGTCAACTCATCAATCACATATTGACAGCATTACAATGTTGTAGGTACATAGTAACAATCCATGTGCAGTTCAGTCAACAGCCTCGAAAATAAGAGGATGTCTGTGAGGAGCATAAGATGAGAGGAGCTCAGTTTTAAATTTAAGATTAGTCGGTACGTTGTGCTTTAAAATTCCATAAAAATATTGTTAAATGATGTATGAAAATAACACTCCCTGCAGCAAGCAACGTAGGAGGATACAGCGTGAGGAAAACACATGAAATTTAACCAATAGGTAATACACTAAGTAAATAGCATTACCCCTAAATATTTACCATAATTTGCGTTTGTGTGATGATTATTTAAAAAAATTATTAGTCTATTTGTAAATCTTGGGGCTGCATTAAAAGAAAACTTACAAGCTTTTGTAACATGAGCCTACTTAATAGATTTGAACAATTAAATCAGTGTTTCAGCTTAACCCTTTCCCTTCATTTGTAAGCATACTCTATTCGTCAAATGTAGTGATCAGCAGCATAATATAAATCTACAAATGAAAACCAGCATTTTAAAGGTTGAACCTTTACAGACGTATTGTGACAGTCTCAGAATTGACCTATTTTGTTTCACAGAAAAAAAGATTTCCCAAACGTCTTCATTTTGGGTTGTGTTTCACAGAAATCCAGCAGAAGTGAACAAGTGTGGAGCTGATAGATTGGCACCTTAAGTCATGCATGACTTAGCATCTCGTTAGCTTCCCACTAGCAAAGAGAATGGAACAATCGCTCACTTTATACAGAGGAAAGAAATGGTAAATGAGCCAAATGTTTGTGCTGGGATCAGAGCTTTTGTGGAAAATGACACTCATACAAAAAGTACTAACACAGAGTAGCTACCCCACGTTTTCTACAACAGTATGCCATATTGATAAGGTCACATGTTGTAGTGGAGAGAAGTATGGTATGTGTGGTGTTGGAGATGTACGAAAAGCATACGTCATGAATGTATAAGTTGAAGAATTTTGGACCCAAAACTGACCCTTGGACCCAAAACTGACCACAAGCAATGTCCATACATAAGGGGCAACAACCATTTAATTTCACAAACTGCTTCCTGTCACTTAAATAACTCCGAACCCAATTTAAAACTACCCCTCTGACACCATAACGTTCCAGTTCTCTTATTAATATATCATGATCTATAGTGTCAAATGCCTCAAGTCTATGTATAACCCAGCTACATATTGCTTTTTGTCTATGGAATTGTGATGTATTCTATTGAATCTAATAGTGCCAAAGATGTCGATCTGCTTGATCTTTATCCGTACTGACTCTCGGTGAGTAGTTTATGTTTATCTATAAATTTTTCCAGTCGGCGATATATTTTGTTCATTCAGCACACCACTGGCACGTCCGACAGAACCAGGCTCAAACGTGTGTTTTATACACATGACAAGTTAAGATCAGGAGTATCTAAAACTAACTGATTATAATCTGTGTGCCACGCAGTCACAATTCTGGGTAGGTTGTAGAAGATCAATACTTATTTCACTCAGTGACGTAAATCAATTTATAATATTTATGTAATGTGTTTTTCAGGATTTTTGATATGCCCAGGGGAAAAAGGCCCCAGGGCAAACCCAGGAATCACTGGAGAGATTATATTTCTTGGCTGGCTTAGGAATGTCATTTTGACCCCCAGGATGAGCTGAAGGACGTGGCTGGGGTGAGGGAAGTCTGGGCTTCTCTGCTAAGACTGCTGTCCCCGCGACCTGTACCCGGATAAGGATGGATGGATGGAGGGATGGATAGATGGAGATGCGAGTGTCATTTTCCCAATTGGCTGTTCAGTCATGTAGTGTCTCTCATTCACCAGTACACTTACTGGAGTGGAAAGACACACGTTTTGCATTTGTGCTTGAGCATAATGAGAAAAGGGAGGGAGCAGTATGCTACTTTGGAGTTTGTTGAGACATTTTACAAACTTTTTATTGGATGAGCTCCTGCCAGCATAGTTTCTGTGTCATTGCACTGTTAAAAAAAGAACAAAAGTTATGTTCAGAAAAATCGTCAAAGTGCTTGCCATGTGCCGAACAAGTCTAAACCTATCGAGGAAAGAAATATTTGCACTGAAATTTATGTTGGAATGAATAAGACTCTAGCATTCAGCACAGAGAAATAATTTAAGCATGTTAAAAGCCTAAAGGGAATCTTACCACAGCTGTCACTAGTTGTATTACATACACAGAATAAATACAGCAGTGTTGACCACGGTAAACAAAGGGGATATATGCACACGCACACACACACACACACACACACACACACACACACACACACACACACACACACACACACACACACACACACACACACACACACACACAGAATGGAAGAACAGTATATTACTGTACCAACATACTGTGCCAACAACACCCCTCCTTCTTCCCGCAGATAATGACATTTCTGTGAGAGCAAATGAAATGGGCCAATTTTCAACCTCATTATGAAGTCTGTTCTGAAAAGGAGTTTAAAAAATATGAATCAGAAGAGAGACTAAGGGTGTAAGGAACATCAGATTAATAATAGACATTAACACTGATTATGTATCCATGTTTGTGTGTTTGTGAGAGACTGTGTGTGCATTTTGTGCTTTGCTTCTCCCTTTAGGTGTGCATATGCTTTGTGTTTGTTTCTGTTTGTGTTGCTCTTCATGGGTGTGTGTAGATGCATGCAGACTTATGTGTGTGTTATGTATGCTTTGAGCGTACCGTTTTTATGTGTGTGTGCATACATCACCTCAGCCCAAAGCCAAGCTGACAGACAGCTTCCCTCTGAGGAGCCCCTTAGTGTTTCTGATTGATCGTCATAATGCCAAGGTACAGGCCCTGTCCTTGGTGCCTATGCTAATCTCAAGCTCATGCATATTTATGAGCTCCTTGGGAATCAACTAGCTAAATAAAGGATGAGGCTGTTGGCTTGGAGCTCCGTTCATCACTGAATCTGATTGATTAGAAAGAGGGGGGGGGGGGGGGAACAGCCAGTAAAGACCTGTGGTTTTTCTTACTTTTCCATCAGCCTCAGTTCTGGGGTCACAGTGAGAGCTTGTGGCATGTATGAGATGAAACAGTGGAGACCTCAAGGTCAGATCCTTTATAGATGTTATAGGGTGACTTTTACATTTACTCATATATTTTATTTCCTGTTTTTTGCTCTTTCTTTCTGTTTTGTCAATCACTCATAGGCATAGGCAGGTTTTTGTTTTTATGCCAAACAGAGATTTAAACAAATTTCTAACCTCAAAGTCTGCTTTTGATTATGCACAAGGTTTTATGCATCTAGTCCCTGTTTGTGGATATTGGCTGTGTTTTATAATTTATCAGAAATAAGCATCACAATATGGACTTTAAAGGTGGAAATTTAAAAATTGGTAGGTTTAATATCCTTAATTCTTTTGACAGTTAAAAACGGTTAGTTCCTACTTGCCAAATTGACTGATCACCTAGGAAGAGAGAGAAAATGATCTAGCGAAGTGAAGTCCCTCAAACATTAAGAATGTCTCTGAAAGCTTTAGCGTAATTATTTCATACATCAAAATTAGAGGCTGTGAAGACAGAGACGACATCACATTCAACATTTTGGTCCCTTTATTTCATGTTAACCACATTTCAAACAACTAAACAACCAATGGTAATGGCATCACCAGATCTAAACAGCACTTTGCTAGACAAATAATCATCAGAATAATAATTATACAAAAGAAATGTACAAATTCAAGACAAAAATAATCTAAAAGAACGTTAAAAAATATATAATACATATGAAGGGCCATGATTCAAGTCAATAAAATAAAGCATCAGTGAACAAAAGGATCAAGATATCCAGCATTCACATTGTCTTCAATACAGCACTCTCACTATTTTGATAGGTCCATTAACGAGCCTGACTGGACTCCAGCGAAAAATAAGAATAAAAATAAATCAACGCAAGCACAGATTGAATAGTTTGCTACAACATTTAACTACAAGTATGTCAGCTCTTGCCATAAGCACTGAAATGTTTCCTAACAAAAGAAAAGTTCATCAGAAGCTGAACTTTATATGAAATCATTCTAAAAAATCTAATGCATCTAAAAATGTTCGTACTTTCTCGCATGGGAAAAAAGTAAATCAGGTAATTGGTGACAATTATGTATTTTTAATGCATTGGGATTTAAGATAATTCACTTCAGTAGTCTGATTTTTTGAGTGTTTGAAAATTAAGCCATCAGTCTGGTCCTTTTTATTAGAATGACAGTGTTTTAGAGAGAGGTAAAACAGATCTGAAAATAGTATCACCTTTAGATTCAACACATGTCAGAGGCTGTTCATATAAATACAGGTGGTGTATCTATAACATGAGATTCTGGTTTAGCCTTTTGGGATAAGGGGAAAATGGGATAGCATAGAAGAGTCTGACCAGATGAGTAGGAGATAATGAGAAGCTGAGGTCAATGCCATGCATAATTCTCATTATTTCCCACACTCCCACACGTTCTTTAAGGTGCAGAGGCATCTAAACTATTAGCCATGTTAACTGCCTTTCAACCTGGGGTCAAACACTAACTGAAATCATTTCCTGTTAGTGATTTTCTCAAATGTATTTTTAATATCTGTATATTTCAGCGGGCTTGACGTAAAGCATTCGTTAATTATAAAAGAAATGTAAATGTGGCCTGTCTCTTTGTTTTGTGATGTTCTTTTTAAATCATAGGTTATAGGGGAAACATGGGCCCAATCCCTTAGCTTGGATATTTATTATAGGTAGAATTATACATAGAATTACTGAACTCTTTACCAGTCTGCTCTAAGTATCAAGGATTCTTAAATCCTTTCTTAATCTCAGCAGGTTTAACTCATTTCTTATCATTTGAATGATTATTTTTTAGACCCAAATAGTGGCCCAATATCAATGACTACTCACAACACTGTAGACCAGGTTAAAATCAAGTCATCAACACTAAAGTAGATTAATTCGTCTGTAAGCTACACTCAGTTATTGAACAATTTCACATTTAAGCAAATTGCTATAAAATGACCAAACACTGATTTCAGTTTTGAATTTACCCCAGGCTGTTCAATGTCAGGAATTCCAAGTCTAAATGTTCCAAAATGGACAAACATGCAAAAGTGCAAGTTATAGTTTATGTAGTTTTTAGAGGGGGGACATTTTTGACTTCTTTATGGGGAATTTGGGGACTCATTTTCAATAAATTATAGTAGTGCTGTTATCATATTAGAGACAAAGTATTATCTGGTTGTTTCATATTCTGTACCAAAAGTGTCACAATAAATAAATAATAAAAAAGTCAAATTTTATAAAAGTTATTCTGAATGCGGCGGCATTAGCTAAATGTGCAATATGCGAACAATATGTCGGCTTTTTTGACATTTCTGTGGAGACGGTCTGTGATATGGCAACACAGTGACATTAACTTTTTAGAGTTATAGTGTTTTGAAATCACATTAATTTGTAACGTACCAGTTGCTGATGTTTTCCTGTTTGTTTGTTTGTTTGATTGTGGTTGTCTTATCCTATTTACAGCAAGGGTGGATGCACACAATAAGATTTTAATTTTGTCTTTTTTAAGCCTTCCAAAAGCATTTATGAAACCACCACTGTCCCAGTGAAAAAAAGCTAGAACAGAGACATGACTTGGCCTTAAATCTAAGGCAGGTTTCTTTTTTTCCTTTTTTTCTACTGTTATTTTTTTTCACAGTGTCCCTGACTCCACTTATTGTAGGTTATATATATTTTTTTGTTCTTGTGTTTTTCTGACATTTGAACTCCGTGAAAATAAAACTATAAAAAAGATACAACCATGCTAACATATTTTCTTTTCAGGCCAATTACAGAATTACGAGTATAATTCAAACGAACTTTTAACTTGGCAAAAGGGAATCAGCATGTAATTTGAAGAAAAAAAAAGAGTTAACTAAGCTGAGTGAGTCATGGTCAAAAAAAACGTACATTTCCGTTCCCTTTGAGAGTTACCAAAAAAAATCTTCCAGTGGGCATCCAGCCTTCAGAGGGAGACAACATTCAAGGCGTAGAATATATCTAAAAAGGAAATACTGTACAATAGTCACATCACAGCCCAGCAGAGAGGACAGAGAAATAGAGGAGTAAAAGTGGTGCGTCTTTTAAACATTTGTCTTTTGTTTACCATATTTTTTTTTCTTTGTACAAGCATATAAAGTCCCCAGTCTTGCTGAAGCAAACAGACATTAAAATCACCAGTGTGCATGTTTGTTGCCTTTTCCCTCTTCTGTACAGGTTTGTTGTGTGTGTTGTTGCAGGCACGCATATAGATAAAGACTTCCTCAAATATGCAAGCATGCCCTCTCTTCACACACAGCCACGTGCATATGCACTCAAATACAAGCACACACACGTGCGTGCACACACCCACACACACAGGCACGCTCAGTCAGTCGGATTCAGGTCAACACAAAGCAGTATTGCCCTCCGTGTTTCCCAGTGTTGCGTTGAGAATGGCAGGCATCGACAAATGGCCGATTGGGAATAGAGATGTTTAGCCCACACCCAATCAGAAGGAGTTGAGCGCTTCCAGAGCCACTTCATAGCAGAATTTATACTGTTCCTGTGTAGAAATAAAACAACGAGCAAAGCTAAGTCAGAAAATTCTTGAAATTTGGCTTTGTTTCCCTCAAACTCTCAATATAAATGTATAGCTGCACTCCCAGCTTGGCTTTAAACTTCAAACATGTATAATAAAACCAAACTCTACGCTCATAACTATTTACTAAATATTGACTTATTTATAAATAAAAAAAAAAGTACTGGAGCACTGTAATCAAAACCAAAAAATGAAATTTCGTGACATATAATTCACAACATAATATGCAACCGACGATGACGAGTATAGAACACAGTAACACAATTTCCATATATTTACCAATGAAAATGAGTCATAATTCATGAACTGAGAATCATAACATTATCAGCATAGCAGATAATATTGGCCTCAGCCAGACAGCAAAGGATTGGATTGGCTGGCCTGCAGTATGTGGGTGAACTAATCCAATGCCACATCTTTATGAACAATTCTGTCATCATTCTCTAGCTGTGATGACGTGCGATGTCCAGATGGTTTCATGGTTTGGGATGTTTGGCAAAGAATTAAGAACAATGAAACACTTTTAATCTTTGACTGACAAGAAACAAAGAGTCAAATAAATCCATACTTATTTGAATTCTTTACATTATTTGTTGTTAATTTCACTGAATGGTAAAACACTTTGTGCGAAGCTGTTCTGCTTACTACCAAGATTAAGTAGCTGCTGATAACAAACTAAAAACATTTGAACATTTCCGGTACTATTTACATAAATGCTATTCTTAAACAGTAATCCAAGGGAATCGATGGGGTAATTGGGCAATAAAAAAGAAAGAAATCATAAAAACATTGCAAATTTCATAGCTGTAAATAAGACTTCTGTACAACTTTTTTCTTCCTGCTCAAGTTGTCCGACTGGTTCATTCTTCTCATACATTAAATATGTTTTGGGTAATCACATGATTGGAGGAGCTAGATCATATGGGTGCCATAGGCAACTCTCTGACATATCTCTGAATATTATGCCACTCCAGAACACCATGACACCATGAGGTATCACCTCAAAGACATCTCAGTTTTACCTTTTTCTCCTTTAGGAATTTAAAGCCAGTTTTTAAAAAGTTTAGGGTCACCAGCACTTTTTACCCACATCTTTGCTTTATGGTGACAAAAAAAACAAATAAAACCCCAAAAAACATAGCCAATCACAATTAAATCTTCACTTATACCACTAAAGGACTAAAGCTTTGGCAAATACTGAACATTGCCTGTTATAATCCATTTACCTTGCATCTGTGAGCAGGTGTGCTTTAGTTCATGGGTGTGAGTAACAAATTGAGAAATTCTTTACAAAGGAGATGAGAAAAGCACTGAAACAGCTGTGACCTGTCTGTATGTGAATACAAATTTTTGGTAGTGTGGGAATACTTGCATGTTTGCTACCACAGAGACAAAAACGTATGTATTGTGATTTCTTACCATAGTCTCCACCATGTTGGTCTTGTTGTTCCTCAGGGTTTTAACAGTGTGGAAAACATCTACAATATTCTGCTGCTGGATCATCTCATTGATGCTGCAGATGGCACAGAAAGTTCCAGAACGTCCACCACCAGTTCTGTAAAGGAGGAGGAACAAAGGAGTAGAACCAAGAAATGAAGAGAGAAAGGGAGACAGAGGCTCTTCAGTATTAAACATCATCACCATTTTGGAAACATAGCTGGAGGTCAAGAAAATCATAGTGAGGTCAAAAAGAAAGCAGGATGGAATGAGATGAAGGAAAGATACAGGTGTAGAGAGAATATTAGAAAAGTTTTGTGGGGTATTCTCCTAACTGCTTATCCAGGACAGTCATTGGATAATGTCCTGAAATTGTATGGACCCTAAACACTAGTTGGAAATTTAATAAAGCTTATAAAACAGGCTATAGAGGTTAAATTAGTTTGCTTGTTGTGACGTATTTAACGAATGGTTTCTGTTTAGTAACCTGTAACATTTTAAGGGGATATAAGGAAAAATTATTAGGTTTGGTGATATATGTTGTTATATTCCTTCTTGTAGCCTGTATAGATGACAGAATGTGGAAAAAAGCAGATTTACAAAGCTAAACAATGTTTAATTAGCTCTCAGAAAAACAAGTCACTGTAGAGAGTAAATAGGATCCTGAAAGCCAAGTTGGAGATATTAGATGTTTCTTTAGCATTAAAAGTGACAAGTATGACAATGTGAGTTGAGAAAAAAGGCTTTAAGGGACAGAGAGTGACAGCAAGTGACAGAGCGAGAATTCAGTACAAAGAAACCTGCCACTGTATGCAGAAAGAGGCCACTAATGGATTTTAGAAATTTGAATAAATGTGTTTGACTTAAATCAAAATAATAATAAAAGCCTTTATGAACATTTTATATAGATGACAAAGGGCCATCTGTATAAAGTGATCCAGCAACACAAACATATTTATGTATACATATATATATATATATATATATATATATATATATATATATATATATATATATATATATATATATATTTTGTGTGTTTACTGGCTATATGCCCCAATCAGCAGTCAGTGCTCTGCCAGTGAAAAGTCAGACCACCCACCATGAAAACAGCTCCAGACTTTCCCATCTCACTTGGTTCCAGCTGAATTCCTTCAGTATTGAGACTGAATAAAACATTTAGGTACTGCGAGGTGGAGTGACAGCCATCAGAAAAATCATCCACTGCCTACCTATTCTGCATTAGGAATGCCAAGGCGGCTACAGCTTGCAGTCTACTCGGAATACCTTTGTTAGTGATAGTGACTGAATTTTTTATAGAAAGTCTATAATCTAAGCTTTTTAGAAGCACTTCAGAAGGTTAAAAATAAATATGGAAAGTTTTTGTTGCTGTCTCAGAACCACTTATACAATAATATCAGACTGCAAGCTTGCAATTCTTCCTTTTCATACATACACCCATTAGTTTGAATTTCATTAGTTATTAGTCAACTAAAAAGCAAAAGTATTGCTCATGCACTTCTTGATTTCATGTTAGATTAAAATTTCAGACAGTTGCTTCAGTGTCAGAAACTAATTTCTAGGGTAATGGTGAAAAAATGAAAGCAAATACATTTTACATTAGTCCTGTCAAATACATCTTAGGGCTAAAATACATGAACATTATGAAGTACTGAACAACAACCAGAAAATGAAACTTTTCAGACTTGTCAGGACTCAAGTAGCAGTAACAGTCAAGGAAAGTGAGTAACCTTTACATCTTCATAGAAACATACCAGATTTGAAAAGTGGTTCATCTCTGACGTCAAACAAAATTAAAAAGCCACTTCAACTGCAGTCACCTTATATTGTGTTAGCTAGACTACAGGAGCCTTGTGTGAATATGGCTGATTTAAAAAGAATATTTGCTGTAATTTGTTTCTAGACTAATGCTAGTGTTCAGATCAGTAAATGGATAAAACACTATTTTGGCTCATCACTCTTGGTTAATATAACACTGCACTAAATTTGATATGATAGATGAGAAGAGGGGTGTCATAATAATAATAATAATAATAATAGTATTGACTATAACTGTGATGGTCCAACTCCCTAAGGTGATAAGCCATCATCAGTGATGGCTAACTACAACTCTAACCCTAGGCAATTAGAAAATTTTACTTTTTTTTAAATTAAATTGCCCAAAGTCTGGCCAATCAGGGGGCAAGGAAAATACTCATTTTGACTAACAAACACCAACAAGCATTAATTTTTCCCATAGATGTTTTAATTTTTAATTTTTCCAAACTACAAGTTTAAAATTGTAGCGTCACTCTTTGGCAACAGGCAAACTACATCTTCATAAAGTTTAAAACAAACTGAATTGATGAACATATTAGGAAGAAAGTGACCTAGCTGTGCATCCAGTTTCTCTGAAGAGATGGGTTACTATAGTGGGTGGGTTAGCACTTCTTTTAAAGGTATTTATAAATGGTTGATATTTGCTTGTTCGCCTTTGTGTATGGTATGTGATTTGAGCTTTGAAAAAATCATTTTAATATATTGGAGTCCAAATTGTTTAGATGCCATCCCCTGTTTATTGGTTACTTTTAGCGTTTACTTCATCCACAGTTTCAGGTGAAATATTTAAAGCGGCCAAAACCAAAATCCAAAACATTACAACTAAATCTACTGCGAAAAGGATCTGACAGTCAGTGGTTGGTGGTTAAGTGGTTTGTATGAGATAAATTCCTATGTGATTTAAATGAATTGTGGCATACTTGAAATCACATTAGTCTAGATATGAACTGCTGCATGCTGAATATGAGTAATTTGTTAGAAAGAGGCACCTTATCTTTATTACTTCGCTTTATCTAAAATATATATCTATATAACTCGAGATAAATACAGCAAACGCAGATTGCTGAATTAAGTGTGCTACTCCTCACTATTTTCTAAAAGCTCCTCCCAGTGTGACTTGTTGAAAGTAAGACATGTGCTCAGTATTAAAGACGCATCAAATTCCAACCTTCAGGACAAGTGAAGAGCAGAAAAATAATCAATTTTCACCATCTACTGATGGAACCATCATGTTTCTACTTATCGCTAGTATTACTGAGTCTGTGAAATCAATAGCTGGGGTTGATTAGCCAGTGTAGCTGTCTTCAGCCAGAAGCAGAGACAGCTTACATCTCTGTCGCTCACATTTACTGGATTTGAGCATAACTAAAGAATTTAGTCCCCAAATGGTCTTCCTATCTTAATTTATCTGCTAGTGTTTTAATTTCACAGAAATTAAACGTGTTGCAGATTTAAATAGAATGTGTTTTAAAATACCAGTTTGAGCATTTAATTTATAGTGATTGACAGAGTTTACTCAAATTAATATCATATCTATATCTATAGGTGACAGGGTTATTTGAAATGAAGGTCAAAGCATGTGATTACTAACATATATGACACCAGTTATTAAACTTTTATTCTCCATATAAGGGCTAATAGCTGAATTGCACATTGTTCTGTAACAGTGTAGACTGTTACAAGCTTCAGCCTTAAACCATTTAGGCTTTCAGGCAGAAAAAGGATGACAGTCATAGCCATGTACTGAGAGCTTTACAAAATATTTGACAGTGACAGATTATTTTACAACGGACATTTATTTTTAAATGTTCAAAAATAACTTACAATCTGTAAATTTAATTCAGAACTAGGATATGAAAATTATTCTTTTTTACGTCTGCCTCTTTTTATGTTACGTGAAGAAAGAAAAGGCTAATAAGCAAAAAACTGTTAAAAAAACAAAAACAAAAAACCCCACATCAATACCTCATTGGTCCAATGAGCTGTTACACAGAGAGCTGATTGGATGAGCACCACAGATAGGCAGTGTCTGTGTACACACGTTACTGTTAGCAGTTCTCTCTTCTATAGATTTTACAGCTTCTGTTTCCTTCCCTCATTATCAGCTTCATTTGCTCTGCTCAAATAGGGTGAATTCGTATCGAGCTGAGCTATGTTTTTATACTTCTATACCAACACACATTCATCTATGTAGTATAATAAACATTGTGTAGTGTTGTTTAAAATATATTTGGTACAAACAGAAGTAGTAGTAGCACCGTACCAAACACTGAATAAACCTGGACATCCGAATGTAGCATGCACAAGCAGACGTGTGGGTGATCCATAATGCATCAGCACAGCCAAACATAACAATAGAGATGAATGATGACCTCTTTAAAACTTGACACATTCCAGGCTTTTTAAGCCATGAGCCTCATTTATATTTAACGAAGATAATTCATAACAAGTCTCACAGCATTTATGAACCGACATTTCAGACGTTTTGACATCAATAGTGAATATATATGGCTTTCAAGCACAAGGTTAATGCTGAGTCTGAGGCATGTGTATATTTGACAGATAAGTGGAACAACATAAAGCATGAAATGGTACTCAACATGTACAAAAACTACAAAAAGTGTGTTTTTGTGTGTGAATATCTGTCTTAAAAGTGTGTATGTGTTCTTTTATAGAAGTGCACAGCTTACTTTATAATCATCTTCCCTCTCTGTCTGTCACAAACATACACTCTAAGGGAAGATTTGTCTTGCCATTTATGTTGATCTGTTATCTCACTGAGCAGTGACTGTTCCAGTCTACTATTTCATCACGTTTTCTATTATTTGTGTCTGCATGTGTCTGTGTGACTATACTTACAGGCAGTGTACCACAGTCCTCCCGTCTCCTCCGTCATATTGTTCCTGCCACTTAGCCAATCTCCTGACCAACTGCAGGATGGAGCGCTTGGAGAGAGGTGTGTCCCTGTAGGCTGGCCAGCCAATAAACTGGAAGTGCTGCACCAGGCGGTAACCATCTTGTGGCTAAGAAGAGAAACGTGAAGATTAGGGTTTTGATCACTGCTGACATAGCTGTTATCACAACAATCAACATCATGCTGTAATTCCATGGAACCATTTCAATTTCATGCACAGCGATATTGCTAAAGCTACCGTTTTTCAGAATTAAGACCAAAGTTGGCCAATGAAACCCATTGGCTCACTTTAGAAAATATATCTGCATCTAACAGGTCTGTTTGTGCTTAAATGATATGGAAAGTTGGATGAAAAGCTGGTCAACTATAACAAATACAGAGTTGGTTTTTCAGTTGTGGTCTTATTTGGTAATATTATCCATCCATTCATTTTCTTAGCCACTTTTTTGGTTACAGACTATGAGGAGGCTAGAGCCTATCCCACTGGGCAAAGGGCAAAAAGCAGCATACCCTGCACAGGTTGCTAGTCATAATACCAATACAGAGAGATGGACACAAAACGAGTCGTTGGATCCAAACCCAGGACCTTATTCCAGTGAGACACTGCCATTCATGCCACCCAAGTAAGTATTTTGTTAAACTGATACATAAAACACATTTTGTATGTAATCAGGCTTTTGTGCTCCAATTAGTTCCTGGTTTTGAACAAATGTCTTTTCAAAAGAAATAGGCTTGGATTCAACAAAGACCTTAGCTTGTTATGTTTAATTCAATTTCATGGCAGACATGGCACATTTTCAGTCGTCTAGCCCAAGGCAAGTGGCATGCACCAAGTAAAATACCAAAATCCACCATCACTGTCAGACTGATTTACTGATGTTTGTCACAAATGCATATGCACATTGACATTTACACACAAACCAAACAAATTCAGCAGTATCATTTTTTATACCACTTTTCCTTCCTTGTCTTTTCAGTACACCTGCCATGTACTTTCTCCCCTTCCATCTCTCCTTTACTCTACGTCCATCTTTCTCTAAATTACCCAGTCTCTTATACCAATTAACACTAATCTAAAATATTTTCTGTACCCTGCATTTATGTGTCTTCATTCTACTTGTCTGTTCCCCCTATTTCTTTGTATTGTCATGTATTTCTTGTGAACATTTTCTCCCTTCCACTTTTTCACTGTTCTCTGCTCATTTGATGGCTAAGTGATTGGCGATAGAGACTCGGCTAGGCTGGAGCTGCACTCGCAGTGTGGGATGTGCTGTTATGGCAATGATATGAGCCATTTCACACTAGACCGCTGATGTGTTTGAGAGAAAGAGAGAGAGAATATAGATAGCAGGGTAGCGGGGAGTTCTCCAAGTGCTATACATAGGAACATGCAGATGATAAGGCACCACTAGAGTTGAGCGGTCATGGATGAGTTAGAAAATGAGATGAAAAGAGGGTAACAAGAAGAGGCAGGAAGATAGGAAGGAAAAGAAAAGGAGAAATAGAAGTGAAAGGGGAACAGAGGTGCATAGAGGTTGGAGAAGACAAGAAAAGGAAGAGGAGGATAAAAAGGTAGAGTTAAAAAGAAAACAACTGTCATTATTCTACCACATTCAACATCACTATCATTTTTTCTATGTAGTCACCAAACCAGGACTCAGGTAGCCTTGCTGCATATCCTTTTGCCAACTGCCTACTGCGTAGTAAAGGTCGCATGCAATGAAAAAATGTCTTTGCTGTATTGTTATGGTGTGTTCCACGGTATACTGTTTCACTATCTATTGCTTTTACTTGAACTTTAAACACATTTTGTATTCCTAGTAAGTGTCAGGAAAGTAGTGCTTCATTTGTCAAATAATAGAGTCCCTTGAAATCCACAACACATATTTTATTAAGAAGAGGCCTTAAAACACAAAGGCGCTCCATGACTTTGAATTAAGCAATGCGCCACAAAATCTAGCCATGAACTCGTAATTTGAAAACTGTCAAGGAGGAGAAGAGAAGACAAAAAAAGAGAAATTATCAAAGTGTGTTCCAGGACACCGACTAAAGACAAACTGAAGCTGTTTAGATGTTCTACATGCAAAACATCTAATCTCATAAATTTTTTTATAACTTAACTATAAAATAAAAGAAGTACTGTATTAAATATGTAAACGTTTAGTACCCTAGCCATGTTGCAGATCCTGAAGATTCGGTTGATGATATCCTCGTCGATGTCTGCAGATATGAACTCCACTTGAATAGGGCCGTAGCAACATGAATTTTTTTCTGGCCAGTACTGCATACATAACTTTAGAAAACAAACACAAAGGTTGGAAGAAAAAGACAAAATGCAGAAAATAAGAATGGGTTGGAGAAAATGAAGTCCACCAGTTAGAACAAGTACATTCACATGACATTTCTTTCCAGTAAGTGGGACAGGTTTTACTTCTTGGCCAGATCCATGAGCTAAGAATCCTTGCTGTAGCCCATGTTACAAATCAGTTACAAATGGCAATAAATAGAAATAAATGGGAGAGACAAGTGATAGAGTAAATAAAAAAATCAACTCTGATACATTCATCAGGCTATCTGATAGTACAGTCAGTTTCAGGTGCTGATGTCTAGTGTATTTTTGTTAGTTAGACAAAAATAAGTACAGAACATGTTTGTAGATTTTTTTTGTGTGTGTACCTGTACCTGTGCTGCATCCATTTCATTGAGCATTACAATGGAGGAGCAGTTGTAGTCAAACACCAACCTCCAGAAGTCACCCATGGTGTTGGGCAAAGGATGCTGAGTAACTATGAAGGCCGCTGGCTGTTTGTGGCTCTAGAATGGTGAAACGAATAACAATCAAAAAGCACAATACAAAGTATGATAAGCTTACACATACATAATCAGACATTTAAACAAAAACTTACATCCATTAATGCAGCATTAATGTAATTGGAGCTCTCTCCATCCACAGAAATCAGAAAAGGAAGGCATCGGTCTGCTGGTAGAACATCCATACTGCGGTTCTTGTCGTGGTTTCTGGGTAGCAAACCCACACTGCAGTCCTCTGGACGAACTCTAGGGGTCACTATGTTTAGAGTCTGACGGGCAGAAAAGCAATGATTTGAACCTTCAATCTAACTTGAACCCACACATTCACATTATCAGCTAGGGTGTTGTTCAAATGCACGTGTGGCGAGTGTTCCCAAAAATGACAAAAGACAAACGGGTGTGAATGTGCGTGCTCACCTGGAACTCATCTTTGATCTGGCTGGAGTTGGTCTGTGGGTCCAACCTGCTGATGTTGTAGTAAATGGCTCTGAACTCACACACTGGTATGGCTGTGTTTCCACACAGACATGCTTCCAAGATGGCATCGTGAACAAACACATACTGCTCCTGCACCAAAGCAAAATGAGTTCTGGAGTCAAAATTTCTTTCACTGAAATACAAAACTGGCTTATGCAAGCAAACAGCACTGAACCTGCCTGTAGCCCTTGGACTGGACCACAGTGCCTCACAGTAGCTGTAAGCAATGACAGCTCTGGAATAGATGATGCAGTCGGGCAAAGCTGCATTAAGTCTTTTCAAGCTGACAACAAACTCAAACATTCCAATGTGAACACAACTTTTGTTTGCTTTGTGTATGAATATTATTTGCATGCTTGTGCTTTTGTGGGAGCCTGAAAGTGATTTAAAAGGGCACAGTGCTTTGCTAGTGGTGCCTCTGTGGTCTGGCTCAAGTATGTTCTTTGTCTTCCAAATCACTAGCTTGCGCTAAATGCATCAGCTACCATGAGCTACAGCAGCCACCGTGCATGCTAATTTACCTCTATCTCTCTTTCTGTCCCCCTATCGGTGCATTTTTATCTGGGGTTGGCTCCGTTTTTATTTCTCTGTTGCTCGTTTCCTCTCACACTTGTGTTTGTCTGCTGCCTCTCGCTTTTTCAATTTGCTTCTCGCTTTATCTCTCGGTCTCTCTCTGTTGAATGTTAATTGTTGCCCTTGGAGCAGAGAAGAGGCTTTAAAAGCATCACTGAAATGACCTCTCCTGGCCATTACCTATGCCAGTGACATGCACAGACACATTTGCGCGCAAAAACACATGTATACACACATGCACGTCACATACTCACTGAAACATTTACGCACACTCTTCTTTCCCCTGTGCCTTTTAAAAGATTAATTGCTTTGTGTTGTGTGGAGCAGGATTATAATAGCATCAAGCAGCTTCAACACTGACACAAATTGCTCCCACACATATTCAAAAGACAGGGCAGGATGCATTTAACTTGGTATCAAGAGGCATAAAAACACACGTGAATGTGCACAGACAGACACACATACACAAAACTAGCTTTTATACCACTGCTGTCATTTGAAAACATTCAACGTGATGCCCTAGGTAACTTTTCTGAACCTGGCACTTCTAAAACCCATTCAAAAGTCAATTTCATACTCTGAGCTTGAGCTGTCAGTCTGAAAATGAGGCTGTTTTTCTTTATTCCTGGAAAAGTTGACTTTTTGGATATGCAAGGTTTTCATCAGTAACACAAATGGAATGCAGAGGCGGAACGGATTAGGTCGGCTTAAGGTAGCTTTAGAAAAGAAATGAACGCTGCTGTTCCAAAATGGAATACCCAACATTTGAAAATGCAGACTCTTTAAAACGTTTGATAGTACTAAATTAGAACAAATTACGACACCATGTAAAGGATAGTAACCCAAGTACCCAGCTAGCAAAGACAGAACGTTTTAGGAAACATCATCCGTATTTTGGGAATACTGAACAGTGCTGATTTATGCTTGGCCACTTCAAATCTTAACTTGTTGTATAGTTGTGACTACCCTAGTACCAGACAATATACCAAATCTCTCCCGTGTCATCTGTTATAGAAATAATAAATTAATACAATCCATTTGACTGGGGTGTCACATCTCATCTCTGATATTCCTTACCAGCTATTGCATACACATATTGACACAAAACTCTCCTAAAATTGTCTATGTCTGAATTTGTGTTTGTTTGGGTGCATACCATATCTGTGTGAGTTTTTGTACTAGTTTTCATCTGATATTCAGGGAATGTTTAATGTTTAATGTTCAATATATAATAATCTAACTGCATTAAATCATAGATGACTGCTAGAAGTCCTGGGATACTCCATACTGTCTTACTTTTTGCGATGCTACATCTCAAACTTACAACTGCAGTCAAAATGACGTATGGTACTGAAAGGGAATAAACGTTAATGTTGTTTTTTCTTCAGTGCAATGTATCTAGATGCTTTGTTAATGTATCCAGTATGTGCTCATCAAAATTTGATGGAAAGCCTCTGTAGAACTCAAGTCAGTAATAATTACAATAGGTGCTGGTGATTTATTTTAACATGAACCAAAAATCTCCACACTTTATTTGAAAAATTAAAAATCCATAATGCATAACTTTTCATGATTGTCTAAGCCAGCAGCCTGCCGTACCTGAACACCCACTTGTTTTGACCAACTAGACTCAACATCATCTGTGTTTAGATATTATTTTGCCTATGCCCCAAAAGGTTGATTCTGTTCATGTGGACGTAGCATCTTCAATGTTTCGTCACTCATCCAAGTGACTTCTTCAGTCTCAGCTGACTGCAGGTTTCCCCAATCTTATAAACAGTACATTTGCACAATAACTGAAACCAGCGCACTGAATGAACAATGGGCTGTGAGGTCAGTTGCTTGATCATTAATATGCAAATTGTCATGGTCATTGATATTTTGCCTATGATTTATATCTATTTTCCATAATTACACTTACCTCTGTCTGAACCATGTTGACTCGTTGTGACCTTAGTTCTCGGATGCAGTTGAAAATGTCCACCACGCCTTCATTCTCCGCCATGTCTAACATGATGTCCACTGCAATGAAACAGCCTGTTCTCCCTGCACCGGCACTGGAGACAATCATAAACAAACATGATACTCTCAATCTAACAAAATTGTAATAATGAACAACTTAATTGTTTTATTCTTAACCTTTATTTATACAGATAGTCCCACTGAGACACAATGTCTCATTTACAACAGAGACCTGTTCATATCCTTCAGTAAGACCAATCACTTTTAACCCTTCAACACTGACATTTTGGGTAATGCAACTAACATACAGACTTATTTCTAATAATTTGTAGTGTTTTTCTTTTTCTTTTGTTTTTTTTAAACGATGCAGTCAGATCTCTGGGCAGCCATATTGCATAGGTATTTGTAGGAGCTTCCCTTTCACGGCACAAAAATTGGTGATGGGCTGTTACACACAGATTTATGCAGTGGAAAAGATGAATCCCGCACTCTGTCTGAGCTGTCTGGAGTCATCCAGAGAACGGCTTCCCAGTTTTACTGAGCACTCCCTGAGTGAGGTCAGAATCTGACTGAAGATTTTGCCCTTGTATCAGAGAATATCATTTTGTCTTCCTGCTTCTCTCCCTGGTCTGAATATCTCTTTTGTTTTGGCAGCGAAATGTATGCTAAAACGTAAGGTGTTAAAGTTATAAAGTGTTTCTGTGCTGTACGTTTGTGAAGTTAGCAGTCTCCCATCCCAGGCATCTCATTAGTCTTGATAGGTTGCTTTGATCATTTTTTTTTTAAAGAAATGAGTCCATCTGTGTTTATAAATTGCTGCACTGATATTAATTCACCTGCACAACTTTCCGCTCCGCGTCAAAGTTCTTTTTTTTATTTTATTGCAGCATTATGCTAATTTTCTTTTCTCTGTAAATGTGTCCCTAAGAACACTGACAAACTGGGGGGGGGGGGTATCTTGTAGTTTAGTAAATACAACTGTTATCAAGTCAATTATAAAGACAAATGAAAAAAAATATGGCATGGTGGATTCATTTCTTTGCTAGATACAGTGACTTCACAGAGTCTAAGCTAAGCCACACCTGGGGTCTGTTCCAGCAGGTATAACACACTCAGAACCTCACCTTAAATTCTGAGTTCTCTCACCTCAAGATGGAAATTAGCATCAGCCAGGTAAAAAAAGCATATTTATATGTAGTAGTACAGGATGATATTAGTATGAGAAAGATCCATTTTCTTCCACTAATCCAATAGTGGAATAGGCTGGAGCCTATGCCTATATTAATTGTATATAATTGCCAGTAATTGTAATAAATTGATGTTTTAAACTCTTTTCAGAAGAAAAGTAAAATAAATAGTAAAATAAATAAAAAATACTCTAAGTTGTTTCCAATGAATGAATACTCTGGGCTATTGTGTTCTTATCAGATCAGTAAATGCTCACTTAAATGGCTGATAAAATTAAAATTAGGTATCCTATATCTTATTACTATGTTTTAGAAATACACTGTGAAACCTCTGAGTTTTGTAACTCAGAAAAACCTATTAACTTTGCAATCTCAGCAATGTTAATGGAGTTTAGTATGAAGGCAGAGTCTTTCTCTATTGCTCTCTTTTACTTTCTAACTGACAAGCATAAGTATGTGGAGACTTTAGTAGCCCATGTCAGGTGTTGAGGCGACACATTCTGAACACCAATGCCTGGAGGGAAGATATGGACAGACAAGCAAACCAACAGATGGATGGACTGAAAGAGCGAGGGGAAGAGGGATGGAAAGGGAATGGTTGGACGAGTTTAGCGACTGGGAGTGATAGAAGTGGCCGTCACGGGGGAGATATCAAGGGAGGAAAGGAGGCACGGATGGAGGGATGTAGCGGAAACTGAGAGAATGAGGTGTAGAGGGAGGGGAAAAACCCATCTTTCAATTTACAATTCCGCTGACAGTTTTCAGAGACAGCTAAAAGAGAGAGAGCGAGAGAGCGTGCAAGAGAAGAAACAGTAAAGAAAGAAAGAGAGAGAGAGAGAGAGAGAGAGAGAGAGAGATAAGATGTGAGGGACGGAAAGATAGAAAGTTGAAGAGAGAAGAGGAGGGGGCGCCTCGGCAGATTACCTGTCAACCTCTGTGATTAATGTTGAGACCAGAATACTGCTGGGCCTCTATGTGTGTGTGCTTGTGCGTGTTTGAAAGCCTCATGACACAGGCCAATAGCATCAGAGTGCCCCCGGAAATTGGAAGTGACTGCCATAACTTCCTGCCTGTCTGTCCACATACTTTTACTGGCTGTCTTTTATGTGTCTGCTCGCCTCATTTGTCCATCCAGTTTTTTTTTTCATTCTCTGTTTGTGTGTCCAATTTTGTTCTTTGAGTGTGTGTCTCTTTTGACTTTTCCATTATTAATAATCCCAAGTGTTTTTTTAGTTGTAACACACATCTTTCCCAAACCTTAGACACGCTGATTTATAGTATTTGCTAAAAAGATGGCAACTTGAGTATATACAGATAAAGCAATATTCATGCATCATTTTACTGTCTAATGGCTAATTTGGCAAGGGACTGCCAAGCAACCAGGTTTGCTGTTTGTTAGTGGGAAGCTCCAAAGACTTATCCAAATGGTTAGTTTTAGTTAACTGAACAAAAGCATCTTTCATTCCAGCAAAAAAAAAAAAAAATCTATATTGTACTCCACATACAATTTCTGGTTAAATTGTACCCATTCATCTCTGAATCACAATGGTGACTGTATAGGACTTTCTGTGTGGAGTCTGCATCTTCTGAGTTTCCTCCTGGTACTCCAGCTTGTTCCCACAGTCCAAAGACATGCATGTTTATGTTAACTGGTCATCCTAACTTGGGCAGCTATGTGTGATAGCTAAAGTGCAAAGAATAAATCACTGTATGGATGCATGATTAAATGTGACTTGTAGTCTAAAGCACTCTGTGAGGTCTGCGAGATTAGAAAAAGTGCTATATAGTATGATGGTCCTTTGATTCCATTAAGCACTAACCATGGCAAGGTTAGTCATTTTATTCCCTTTGTGGGAATAAAACTCTAAAGCTATGTGTTGTATCAAGGTGGGCCATGAAATGAATAATTAAATTTCAATGCTTGAGACAAGATGAGGAATCTACTCAAAACCTTTTTTTCATAGCTTGTCAGAATGCTGACCTTTTAATGCCTGTGCCAGCTGAGCACCTGGCTCCAGAAGTGAACTGTTACATCCCATAAAGAACAGAACATTGAGGTTAAATATAGTATCACCATGGGGATCCTAATACTATCACTTTTTCCCCCTCCTACTCTTCATGGCGGTGTATGGGTGAAAGAAGATAGGAGATGAAATTCTTTTTTAACCTAAAACTTTTTATTCACTTTCTAAAAGTTAGCACTATTGATCTAAGCTACGGAAAAGAAAGGGTGACGTGTTTGAGAGATTACAACAGTAATCATACCTTGCCCTATTGTCTTAATTGACAAGGAAAAGGGGAACCCATAAAAAAGTTTTTTTTAAAAAGTACTGGAAGAAAAGCCTGTGGAAAGAACTGCTTCTTAGATTTAGGTTGAGATAAAGTCTTATATTTTGGGGCTTCTGACGAACTATCCAAACTGATTGTTTAGTCAGAAGCCTTTTAAAATGACTCATAAGACCACAAAAATAAAACATGGATATTTTCAGATCTGCCAAATCACAATTAGGCCAATGCTGTAAAACAATCCAAGGTTTATAAAGATGATTTTGTAACAGAAATACCAGTAGTCATTTGATCATTACTGTTTACCCAGAGCCTTCCCCTGTGATAAGCAAGAAATGTGAGCTATGCATCTGAATGGCTGTTTGTTTGTCCTTGTCTTGCCCGTGCAGCCACTGACCAGCAGCGCCAGGGAATTAAGTTTATCTTCAGTACAAAACCTCTGTGTCCTCTATGTAAGTACACTTACCTGCAGTGTACCACTATGGGTCCGGCATCTGGAGGGTTGAGGAACTTGACCTGTCGTATGAAGCCAAGCAGTCCTGTGGCGTAACACGGAACGCCGTGGTCGGGCCAGCTGGTGAAATGAAACTGACGGAGTTCACGGATCTCATGATGGCCCTTCTGAAAAACATGCACAGAGGGAGATGTTATGCTAAGTAGCATATTTCATAATGGCAGTTTCACGAAAAGAGTCTGTCTCTTCATGAAAAGTGTTGGCCATTTTGCCTTTTGATGATGACAAATGGCTGAATCTTACAAACTGTTTCATTGCTCTTTTGGGGAAGACTGACAAGAAGACATATCATGGTTCAGGACCCTAATTTACAGCAGGGATTTCAGGAATATGGGGGCCTTGATGCCTCTTCAGATGAAAAATAAATCAATCTCATCGTGGATGTCAAGATGGCACTTTGGGCCACTTCGGGGAATGAGAGGCAGGAAGACTTATTGTGGCTCATTTGCCTAATTTACAGGGGAGATTTGAGGAAACTGAAGGCCATCTTGCTCTACAAAAAGATTAATTGATTTCACAAATCTCATGATGGCCCTTTTGGGAAAGACTTGCAGGAAGAAATGCCACGGTTCAGTTCAGCTGCCCAATTTACAAGGAGATTTTGAATATCTAGCAATTATCCGACTGCTTGTTATTGTATGAAGTGCTCAGCGATAACAGAAAACATTTAAATATGGAATGTGTTTTAATTAAACAACATTTGTTTCTGAGAAAAGTTTTGCTGCATGACAGACCAAATAAGTTTCAAATGTATAAACAAGATACCGTTGCTTATAAAAAGGATTAAGATAAAACATAATTTGGAAAATCCACTTCTTAGATATAAAGAGAAACAATCTGCTATATAAAAGTGTAGATTACAAAATAACAAAATGACAAAACATGTGTGTGACAGGATCCTGACATTTTCATGATGTGCTTTCCAGAAACACATAAGCTACAGAATATCTCCTCATCTTACAATTGGAGTATTAGGATGCTAACAATGACATATGATACTTAATAGATAGCAGTGAAGTCTCACATAACATTGCTTCCTTGAAACATGGACATACAGTCTCAGGACTGTGGTGTGCAGTAGGTTCATGCTTATCAGATAAAGAAACAGAATTACTTTAAGTCTGGATCCCCAGACAGGCTGCATTTGAGGGCTGGAAGTCAAAAAAATCTGTTATGACTCTATATATCGTCTCCAATATTGAGTTATGAAAGAAAACTGCGTATTAAGCAAAAAGTAAGGCCACATCCACAGAAGCCAATCCTATCCGAACAATTCGGAATAGCATTATACATTTTTCTCTTTTCCACCCATTTCTTTTGAAATGTTATCATCTGATGACAAAGAACACATTGGAATCCTACAGTCAGGGGTTATTGGAAATGAAACCTTTGTGTCATTGTTACAGAGCCAACACGGCAATTCTTTCATCAATATGAATTCGAGTGAAAAGTTTTTTTGTTTTTTGTTTTTTAATTTAGGAATATGATTCCAAGGAATCACACACCTTATACTAAAGCTTCAGGACTCCTCTGAAGGCATAATGTATTCTGACAGTGTATAACTTTGAAAGTGTATGCCACCTGCACGAGGCAATCAGAAGGCTAAGAGGGATCTTGCCTCAAGTTTCCTATTTTGAGGTCTGACCTGCATATCCTGGTGGTTCAACTGAATCTCTCCTCACTGGATATAGAAATGTATTTTTTAAATCCTTTCTTCAGCTTCCATCAGTTCAGTTTTTTTTCTATAATACTGCACTCTTCTGCTCTAATAATTCAAACCGATCGATTCTATTATATTATTCTAAACTAAACGGGGCTCAGTCACGTCCTCCCCAGTTCAGTTACTCTCTAAGAATAGAGTTGAAATGAAACTGCGTCTTCCATTCTGGCTCTGTAATATACAAGGTTGTATTGAATTATTTGTTGTGACAGACTATCTGATAATAACCCAAGAAGCACGGGTAACATAGGAAGTGGGGTTGGTGTTCAGAACCTGAGACTGAGTGGGAAAGAGCAGAGGTTAAGGAAGAGAGTAGGAAGTGGTGGGCTGAGGAAGGAGTGGGGAAAAATATGATGAAAAAAGGAGGAAGGAAAAGATCAAGGAGAGAAACATGGACACGCGACGTATGTGACAGAGACGTGAAGTGAGAAAGAAGGAAAAAAACTGAAGACCGCAAGGCGATTTGATAACTGGACTTTCCATTGATTTGCACTCCTGTGATGTTAAAATTACTTCTCTAAATCAATAGACAACAGTCCAACAGAGCTAGAGACACAGAGACGGGTAAAAGAAAACAAAAATAAAACACTGGTATTGAAATGTTGGAAATTGATGATGAGGAACTCAGAACACTTTAAAAGCTCTCCCTATTCCTCTAACCCTCACTTGCAATAGATACATAAAAAATAAATGTTTTAATGGATTGAAATTATCCCTCATTTTCAAATGCGTTTTAAATCCAGTCTCAGTTTCACTGGTACTCACGTTACTTGTCTTAGCAAGTTTATACTTTGCAAATCCTCTGCTCTGTAAGAAACACATATATAAATCTGTGTGACAACATTTTAGAAAGGTTTATTTGACATCAACAATCCTTACATATCTTTTATTGTTAGAATTTGTTTTGGTGTCTGGAACAGCCTAGAATCACCGTAAGGGGGAGTTCATCCTGACACTGGAATTTGTTGTCCACAACAATCCCTTATGCTGTCATGTCCTCCTTATAATCACTTAAATATGAGTCCAGCACTTCAAACCCTCCATAGAAAATAAAAAAGAGACTGTATGTTTAGCCTCAAAAGTTGAGGTTAAATGTCATGGCGACATACCAGTACTGTGGAAATGTCTTGATTCAGCCATCATTTCTTTATATTTTGCTAGTATATAAGGAAAAACAGATTTAATATAATTCTAACAAGTTTGAGAGTCAGTATTCAGTATATCCACCGTTTTCTGAACTCGTTTAGGCATAATTTCTTGACGTAGTGTTCAGGAATAGTTTTCCAGTCTTCTTAAAGAACATTCCAAAGCTCTTCTTTGGATGTTGGCTGCTGTTTGTTCCATTCTCTGTCAAGATTATTCTGCGCTGATTCAATAATGTTGAGGTCTGGGAAGGCTAGTCTATGACTGATAATGTTTCATTATCTGTTCTTCTGTCCTGGTAAGCATTGACTGCATTGACTGTGTGTTTGGGATGGTTATCATGCTGAAATATGAAGCTGGTGCCAATCAGATGCTTTCCATATACTCTATTGTATAGAGTGATAGTATTGTATTCTAAATTAAAATCGGATACTTTATCAGATAATTCAGTTTTGATAAAATCTCCAACACAACTCGCTAAAACGCCTTGTCTTCCTTTGAATTTTTTAACTCAAGAAATGTTGTTGTAACAGGCTTGTAGTAAGAACAATATGTGTAGACACAGCACTGGCCTGAGAAAAGTCTAGAGAACTATTGCTCAAGACACTTTAAAAATGACAAGGTCTGATCCCTTGAAAGCAAAATTCAAGAAATAAGGAGTGACTTTTGTACAGTACTGTAACAACAAAATACCGGTGAGAAAAAAGTTCGAATTAAATTAATTACAAATACTGGGTTATTTTTCATGAAAAAAAACTTGGAAATTGATTAATGTTATACAGGATGGCAAATGATCAAAAAGTACCATAACTGATAGGGAAGAAATAAGAATGGATTTAATTTATTTGGCAGATTTGAAGTGCCGATCCGTTTTTCTCAGCTAAGCTACGCAGAAGCTGGAAAAAAACATTCTGGGCAAAATATTGATTGTCGAGAGCCACTTGAGAAGCATCTTCTCATTCATTTGAGGAAGAACACTTTGTTGAACTACTCCAACATGTCTGGACTGTGTTTAATCTCGCAGACCAGTACAAGCCCTTGCTACCCTTGATTTTTTTGTCAAACTGCTGTTTTCACTCTGAACGGCTGCTACACAGATGTCAACTGCCTACAATTCATTACACTAGACTATAGTTTCAGTTGAAAAATGACTCATATGTCCTGTCTGATATGTGTATGCTGGTCTTCAAAGCAATGTTTTGTCCTGTTGAGTTTGGCCTCTACTGTAGCCTTCAGTTTACTGCGGTCACATGAGTGTCATTAATCATATTTTGGGTGTTAGCACATTGGCGAACAAGCCCTTGTTGGCTTGAAAAAACTAATAAAAAATAAATAAAATAAAATAAAAAATCGACGTGTGTACATACAGTACTATCTGTAGTACTCTTTCATTCCAGCTGCAGCTGTGACTACCTCTGGAAACTTTCTTGCTAACGTCAAGGCTGCACAGTTAAGAACAGAGACAGTAAAACTACTTTACAGTCCACTTCACTTATAGCAAAATTTTGAACTTCACATAAAACATCAACACATGAAATGAATGCTACTTAAGAAAGTTTTATACTCACATATGCTGCTTCTTTCTCTCACAGCTGCTATCATTCTGACATTCAAAGATGAGCTACCTTTTGTCATCCTGCATCTTTAGCTCTTTTTCTCTCCCACTCACACGCACACATTTGCACACATTTTCTTTTAGTCTTACTTAGTCACCCTCTATTCCTCAGTGCTCAGTTAATCTCTTTGGATGTGCCATTAATAAACCTTTTCATTAAGCTCTTATTCTCATTATTCACTGCAACTGAGGCTATTTAGTTGCTACACAGAACCCACATACCCTCTGTCTTGCTTTCTCTTTGTTTTTCACACTCACACACAGTGGAAAAAACCCACTGAATTTTAAAGATGGAGAATTTGAATTAGCAAGTGTCTGATGTGTGTTTGTAAGTATTTATGCATACTGTCAAACGACAGGCGTTTAGAGATCAGCTTTCCTTTGAATTTTAACGCGCACGCGCACGCACTCAGAGGTGGTATGGATTAATGGCTTGCTAAATGAGCTGACAGCAAACACTTCAAGACTTGTCTTTATAAGCTGATTTTGCACGACTGAGGGGGGAAGGAAATAGAGGATAGAGGAAAAATGACACTGAGGTATAAAAAGAAGAAAAACGAATGGAAAACACACAAGAGTAGTCAGGAACATGTATTATAATGTGTAATAACTGTAGAAGATAGGTACCTATTCTAAAAAATAAATAGTATTAAAATGGTAACGGACCTAAAGATCAACCTCTGTCCCTTGACTCCCAAGTAAAATATTTATATAAGCAAGATTTGAGTGTTGTAAATACTTTCTATACTCAAACAAGCAAAAAGAGGTAGAAAGTAAAATGGAGGAGAAAAGGAAAAACAATGGAACAGGCAAACAGAGACTGAGAATAAAAAAACAAGACTGAAAGTCGCTCGAAAGATAAAGGATTTTGGATCACAGCCTGTGTCTTGTTGTAATGTGCATTTCTGCAGTTTTTGCATTCAGTGTGCAGAGCCCTGGAGAACAACATCACAACAATGAAACTACATTCGTCGATCATCTATTCTCCTCTCAAATCCCTCCTGCCTGATTACAAGTGCCAAGATTATGCTTTCAAGATTCCTCTTAAACAGTGAGAAGCAAACAAGTAACAGAGCTCACTCGCCATAAATCCCCAATCACATATTGGCTGTAATGGTAATCTAGGTCTGGGCTTTACAAAATATGGAAGCAATACAAGCTACGATAGGGTGTAAATACGCTGCTAGAGAGCATGAGTGGGTTCAAATCCCATCACAGGCCTTGTGGGGCAAAGAAAATTGGTGTGACATCATGACTCAATGTTAAAATGCAGGATAAATACTATGACAAAGACATCAACAGCTTTTGCCTTTTTCAGAGCAGGAAAGTTAAATCTTCATATTTCCAATTAAAGCTGCTGGTAGAACTGGTATTTGAAGTCCTGAATGTGGAATAATTCTCACTTTTTTAACAACTATTGTTTTCATTTTCACTACATTCTCAGTGGAATTGACCATGGCATACTTGATTCCTGAATTATAGAATAAAGAATTAAAAATATACTCTTGCCATTAAATATAAAGTTTACTTGTTTACCTTTTGAACAGTGAACGTCCGTATGACATATTCCGCCAGTGGTTCAGTCTCTATGAGGGTCACCTTGATGTCTCCGTACACCTCTGTCTCATCAGGCCAGTAACGAACACACTTCACCTGGAAAAGATCGTTCTTATTGTCATTGTGTTTTAAAATATGCCTTACGTGGTGTTGATTATCTCCCCATGAGCATCAAGAGGCAGAGATGATACTGATTAGAATTTACTAGACGGCATCGCAAAGTAATTCAGTAGTGTGACTGGAGGAAAACTAAAGCTCCAGGTAAAACAACAGCACATATAACTAGATCATACATATATACATATAGACACACACAGAGATATACATATACTTTATTTACTTCTAATACACACATTTTTGGAGCTGCTTGGATGATAAACTCACCCTTCCCACTTCCACAAGGTTTGTAACCATGACGATAGAGGCCGAATTCTCCTGCCACACCATTCTCCAGAAATCCCTCACCGTCTCTTGCATGGGCCCTGACAGACAAACACACAAACACACACAGTGTAAACATTTTGATACACATAAACAAGCATACAGACATAGGTGTGTAAATAAGCATATGTTCATTCCAATGCCACGTAAAAATGTCAACACTGGTAGTACAGACTTGCACAAACACACCCATACAGACACACACATGTATTTGAACACCATCAATCCCAGATAGTAGTTTGGGGGTTTGAGGTAATGGGGTCTTAAATTTGTCAGGGGGGTTTTATACGGCAGTTTAGATTTAGGAGGTTGTGGTAATAGCCTTCCAGTCCGAGAGGACGACATTTACCAGGTGGGTCCTACACGCATACACACACACGCACACAAATAGGATCACATGCACACATTCGTATCTACACAAATGTGGAAGCACGCATTAGTGCTTCTCACACACACTTATCACGTCAGTTTAATTACCTTGTGTGGCGATGTAATGTCTGGGTCTATGGTACCCCTGCGAGACAGAAAAAAGGAAGCAATAAAAAAATATGTATCGCCACTTTTGTCATATCCATTTTTCTCTTTATATTCTTTATTTTTCCTATCCAACATCTAAATTTCCTCTATTTTTAGCACATTGTTTTTCAAGAATTCTCATTCCTACTCACTATTTTTTCCAGGGAATCAGTCTTCACCCATCTCCCGCTATTTCGGCTGTTTTCCTTTTCACTCCCCAAAGTTAGATAAAGTGTTACATTTTGCATTTTTAACCAAAATATACTAAAACATTCCTGCCCTATTCTTTCATTCAGTTTTTCCCAATTGTGTTGCCTTTTCTTCACTTCATTTGTCCTCGTTGTTAGTCATCTTCTCATTCATTCATCATCTCTCACTCTCCTTCTCTGTCTTGTCTTCACGTTCAGTTTTTCCCATGTTTTATCCTTCATTTTTTCCCAGTCACTAAATTTTCCCTCTGTTGGATAAAAAGACACCGGTCTCCAACCAGCGATTATTTCTCTCTCTTGTCCCATCACGATTCCCTATAAGATGGATAACCTTGTTGAGATAAAAGCATTTATCATTTTCACTTTGCCATTAGAATCACTTTGTGAGCATGACGTTATCTTCACGGGGGGATGTGTTTTACTTTTTCAATTCTTTTCTTTTCTTCTTAAGAAACAATCTAGTCTGTGAGACTGATTTTGTACCAGATTTATTAAGACTACCATTACAACAGTAAGCTGTGAGCAGGAGATTAAATCAATAAGTGAAGCACAATACCTGCAGGGGAGAGAGGAAGGGAGTAAAAACGAACGATGGATGGATGGATAAGGAAAGGTAATAAGAGGGACACACAGTGGGAGGTGATGGAATGACTGATGTAATTAAAGGAGGAAAGGGTAAACAAGGAGGGGGGTATGTTTTCCCCCTTTTAATTTTTTTTATGTGCCCGTTGGTGAAGGAATGGAGTCCAAAGGGGGGAAAAAAACAACACTGATGGTTTTATCTGCTGTGGTAACCTTAACTAAGGACCTGATTCACTGGTACAAATTTAAAGCAATATTGTTTGTGTGCAGAGGCAGGTGTCTGCATCTGATTTGAAACTGAGAATATGACATCATCCATACTATTGACTGACTGACTGACATCCATACTATTTGATATTCAGGGCATCCATGCAGAAAGAGACTATTACAACCTGTGAGGACATGTCAGTGAAACTCACATAAAATAATAACTATTTGTGAGGCAAAGGGTGTGCTTTCCAAGTTAGACGTCTCTCAAGTTTCAACCAAGTGATGTAAGCAGCTACCAACAGGAGCAAATACTACAGTTGGCATATGATGAAGTTGTAAATACAGTAGAGGGTTTCCTACACAAGACTCATTGTTTGGATCATCACTACAGTGTATGTGTGCATGTGTGTGTGTTCGAGTGTAGTTGTGTAAACACTCACGTCAATATAATTGGCATTGATGTAGTCAGAGTGGGGGTCTCCATCCAGCAACTGCAGTCGGACTCTGGTGTGATCGTCTGTGGGATCAGATAGCACAAAAATACAACAGGCCTAAAGTTACATTTACCCACAGATCGGAAAAACTAACTGACTGGAGGGGGAACTAGCTAACCAGGCCCAAGGTTATGAGTCCAAACAACAAATGTAAGTGCACTTTTCCTGCTGCTGTTGCCTGTTCTTTGTAATTGTTGATGGATCAAGTCCTGTCTCCTGTTAATAGTCAGCATTGGCATCTTTTACCTGAGTAGATAACCTTTAGTTAATCTTGACTAAGCAAGATAGTTAAAGTTAAAAAGTTAAATTGTGTCACCCAGAAACACCAAACATCCTCAGTTCCCTTGGTATAGTTTTATTTCGACACTTCATTTCAAATGTTTTTTTCCCCCACTTTAGTTCATTTGGTCTCAGAGCAGTTCCATTCAGATGATCTGAATGGGTATGACAGAAGCAAACACATAAAAGTATTAAAGTAACATTTTGTGCATAACTCCCCAGTGCAGATTTATGACAAATATCATTTGCATAAGTCAGGATGATGGGACAAATTCTGTTTCCATTACTTGCTGCCTCTGTCAGCAAATGCTATTGCATTTACTACCAAATGACAAGCAACACAGATTTGTTTGTCTCACAGGCTTTTTCGGGTACTATGCAATGATTCCTTTTAGCTGTAAAAGCTGTTGAACAAATTGTTCAAATGAAATGTCTACTGTACCATTTGCAAACAGTGACATGTGATCACCGAATGAGAAAAAAAGATGGCTTTGGACTTCTCTTCTGCTTTGAAATAGTTGCTGGAATAGCAAAATCAAGAGAAATTGTGGACATAATCCAAAGCTAATAGTTCAAAGTGCAAGCAGCAACAGTACTTCTTCATAGTAATATGACCCAGTAGGCACCATTTGTCAATAAAAGCCGCAATCCATCCTCTTTTTCTATAACCGCTTGGATTTTATCCACGACTGTCTGAAGATCGCTAATGGTAACAGTGGGATCCAGAGTCATTTCTTTGGCAATTTCTCACATGTAATGTGTGTAAGATACATCTTTGTTGCTCTCGCTGGGATGCATCTCCAGTGATGTTTCTGAAGTCATGAGATGTTTTGGGTTTTTCAACATCAGACGCCCTCGCACAGATCAATTTCCAACTTTCATCCCATCAGCAGCCACCCATGGATTAGTCCATGGGTGGCTGCTGATAGGACATTTTTATTTCCAATTCCTTACTATTAGCGTATCTGTTTTTGTGTCCCATGAGAATTATATCTCCTCTTCTCTCTCAGTCACGGTTGTTAGAATGGAACTTTGTTCTTCCTGCTTCTTTAGCATGTCAGCATCTCCTGTTTTCTGCAGGTATGTCCATTTTTTTGGACAATGACAGTAAGTGTCCAGAGATGGCACAGTTTTAAAAAGAGTTAAAATAAATCCAGGTAGAGAAGTATCACATATTCAAATAGCACAAGCACATATACAAACACAAGTTGTTACATCTCAAGGAGTTTATGAAGTTGAACACACCAGACCTATAAGTCCCAAAAACCTAATAATAATAAATAAAATTATAAATAAATAAATTGATAATCACAAGACTATTTTTACAATCTATAAGAATTTTAATATATCTTTGAATCTCAGATTATCTGTAATAATCATAACAGCAGAACCTCTCACCTCACTCACTGTTCACCCTCATTATCCATGTCACCATGATGAATTTTTTTTTCTTTTTCTTTTTGAGTGTCAATTATTTTGTTCTTGGCTGTATAATAGCTATCTATAGCATTGGGACACATATGAGTTATTAAGTGTAATGGGAGGCAGTGATTTTTTTTCTTTTTAAACTTAGTTGTAACATAGCAACAGCAGGTAATTGCAGATGATGGGGACAAATAAGAATGATTGCACTGCTTCTTGAAAGTTTTTAATTTTTTGAAAAAGAAAGAAAGAAAGCGAATACAGACTAAATGGAAAAGAGCAGGTCGGTAAATGTGAGATATTACAAAGAAAACAAGAAGACAAGAGCAGAAGAGAGGTAAAAATTATGTCACGTGTAGTTGGCAAGTATAAGATAAAGATAAATAACATAAGAGGCTAGGAGAAATGTGGAATGTTGTTACCTTTCAGTCTCTGAAATGGCATCTCATAAATATTTCTGTCATCCTGGTCATCATCCTAGTATAAAAGGACGCACATCTTTGGTTGTTGAGCAGCCTAGACCTCTGAACTGTGGTAGCAATTGAGAATGCTTGGGATGGAACAACGTAACAACGTAACAACTGAAACCATGAATTAAACTTCTAGTATTTCTGCAGGATTTATTTTTTACTCATTTTGAATTGAGCTGTTAATTCAAATTGTAAATTGTTAAACTGCTTCAGAAACAGAGCTTTTATGTTAGCAGATCTACTGTGTGGTTGATGACTCATGCATTCAATGGAAACCATTTTCTCTGGGTTTATAGAGTTGCATGGGAGCAATCATTATGTTAAAAAGGCGTTAACATTTTTTTTGTTTTGATGACTATCTTAGAATTGATGTGTGAATTCATTTCCATTCATAGCTGGCACAAAATGAGGCCTTCAGCGGAGTAAACATACTCAGAAGTAGGATAAAATTGCAGAGACCGTTAACTTTTTTTAACAAGCAAAATCATTTAGAACATACAGCATGTATTTGGATTTTCTATAATAAGGATGTTGCCAAGCAGCTGAACAATATCCTGGAAAGCATAAGAGTGTACTATTTATTTAGATGACGTTAAAGGTGATATGATTTTTTTTAACTACTTTTTATATTAAGAAGGTAACAAACACCATTTGTTGATAAAGACCATAAAATGGGTCCAAATCTTCAGTGAGAGCTAGGACATTTCTAGTGGTTCTGACAAAAGAAAAAAAAAAAACCAGGAAAATAAAGATCCGTACATTTTTCTTAAATTCCTATTCAATTACAATTCGAATGAGCCAAACCCATCTCTGATTCGGCAAGTGGCCAATCTATTGCAGGTCAAACAGAGAGAGACAAGTTCTCAGAAACACTGCTTAACATACGTGTCAATGTCCAGGTTTGAGCCTACACCATCAAAGTTTTTAATATTTCATTGTTTCATTAATCATTGCTGTAAATAATTCTCTACAGTCTCCAAAATGTAAAAAATATGCAGTCTGTATGCTGAATTTGAGAAAAACGTTAATATTTCAGCAACTAAAATGTGTCATAGCTCATATCTATCACCTAACACCTTATTTTGTTTATTTTGTCACAGAGTAGAATAGAAAATTTGACATCACATGGACAGTCATTTTATATAATTTTTACATGGAACAAAATCATTTGATAATTTTAATGGTGATTCAAGGTTCAAGTACCAAAAAAAAAACCCCATCACAAATGGCCCATTGCAGAATGGTCACACAGCCTATTAAGTATGTGATTCATACTTAATAGGCTTTATTATAAGGCTCAAATGTGCAGATGAGCTATGTTACTCCAAGCACATTTTTTTGGTAAAACATCTCTCAAAAATGGTGCTTTTAATAGCCAGACCATGGTGTAGATGTATTTAGCTCAAGTTCTTAGCTCTCAAATGGAATCAGTTGCTGGCCAACCTTTACATCTGTGATAAGCTGTTTATCTGTAAGCTTAGTGCAGTCTCAGTAATGTTCAGAAGCTGAAACTTTGGAGTTTAAACCTTTCATGTAGACTCTTGCAGACATTTGTTTCAGTGCAGAAGAGTAAAAATGAAAATAAATGTAAGTATAAAAGCAAAGACATCTTTGACTGTACATGCTTTTGCTGATTTGTTATTTATTTTGTATTTTTTTTCCAGAAATTAGGGAGAAGAATGTGGGCTCGGCGTACGTAAACATTGCTTTAGACTGAGCCTGTTCATTGATTATATTGTACATTAGACTGTGAAGTTTATATGTACTATTTAGCCTGTGCGTATAACATGTGGTGACTGAACAACATAAACTTAATAAACTAAGTGACATCTTGTGTAAACATCTACAAAATGCTGCACTCGGGGTTATCCCAGAATTCTGTTGTATCTCTTGGCCAAATTACAGAACCAAGGGTTTCACGATCACTTAATATGAAAAGACGACTGCATAGAAAGGTCATGACCGTCAGTAGGGATTACCCCAGGACTGCATTAAAACAGCCAGTGCAAGTATGACAAGCCTCAACTGCAGACTATTCATCCACACGGTCAGGTGAATTAAAGCACAGAATACAGTACAAATTCTTAGAATAACAACATATAACACCTTGATTATCACTTTTAGGATCACCTTGAGGAGAATTATTTGTATAACTGCTATCAGAGTAATGTTGCAGCTCTGGCTGGGCAGCAACAATGATGGCAGCATGACGCCACTCTGCTGGTACAAGATTCTGTCATCAGCTATCAGCGCACTCACACTCACGCTCTCAACTCTCTCACTCTCTCAGTCACTCAGTCAAACACACACATGTGCACACACAAAAATACACAGCATGTAAAAACAAACACAACAGGAGGTAGTCTGCCAGCCGTCTGCTCGTTCCCTCTCTGTCTTTTTCTTCCTTCTCTTCTCCGTCTTTTACTCCGTTTCTCATCTGCCTCTTCGATTTCTATTCCTTTTCTCTGCTGATCCTGTCCATTTCTGTCTACCTCCTCCTCTCCTCCCCCTCCATGGTCTTCTTTCAGCTACCTGTCTCTCCTCCCCCCCCCCTCTCTCTCTCATTCCCCATGCCATCTTGCTGCTTCAGGCAGCAGTAATTACGCAGGGCTAGTGTCAGAGGCTGTCATAACACAGAAGCCACTGATATGAGGCTGGAGGAAAGAAGGGAGGGGCCCTTCCCACTAGCCTGCACGGGGAGGGGAGCTTCTAATTGGGCTCAAATAGCAGGAGGTACTGACTTGAAAACGCTACAGATGTGGACATGGGGCACAGGCTTGAAAAGGCTGATGGGGTGTGTATCATTGAGTGTATGAGTGAGTGAGTGGGAGAAAGAGAACTGTAGACATCTTTTTGTTAGT